AGGAGCAGATGCGCAAAGACCCCTACGCCAACCTCATGCTGCAGCGGGAAAAGGACTGGGTGTCCAAGATCCAGATGATGCAGCTGCAGAGCACTGATCCCTACCTGGATGATTATTACTACCAGGTACCGGGGAGAGGGAAACGGCTTAACGCTCCCCGAGGGACCGGTGTCTTCCCGTTGGGTGGGAAGGGGATTCCGGTGTTGGGAGCGATGCGACGGGGGGAAGCATTCCTAGATCCAGTCGTAGGGAACGCGCTGGAGGAGGAAGGCAGAGAGGGATGGGGTGCGAGGGAAGGGGAGAACCGCTTTCCCCTTTTTGGGTGAGATCTCCAGGGGTGAGGAGATGTTGGGGGACATGGATTTGGAGCGCGCGGCTGCGTAGGACGGACGCCTGGCTTGGAAAACGGACCGGGGCTTGCGGGGTGGCTGGGAGTGTGGCTGGGGCGGTCGTCAGCCGTACGGGAGGTGAAACGGGTCCGGTCCACTCGGTGCCGGTTGTCTGGGCTCCGGTGGGAGCTGGCAAGGAGAGGTGCGGACGGCGGATCCGTCTGCTCCGGGGTTGACAGAGGTTTTCCGAGAGCTGTGGGTGAGCTGGTCCCCAGTAGAGGAGAGGAACTGGTTGCGGCCGCAGCCGGGAACATGAGTCAACAAAGCTCTGGCGTTGCGAAAGAGGCGAACGTTGGCCGGGGTGGATGGGAAGAGCGCGTGAACACCGGTGTGGGAGGTCCCGTCCGTCGTGCTGCCCAGCTTGGGCATGGTGGTAACTGGAGGGAAGGATTGGGAGCCGGGGACCTCACAGGGAGAGTGGATTCGTCATTGTTTGGATTGAGAAAGAGAGGGTTGAGGAGGAACCTCGACCTCTGTAATCTCGAGGGATGATAAAGAGGAGGATGCGATTGTTCCCTCGTGCACTGGGGGAAGAACTGTTTTTTCCGGGGTCTCAACCTCTCCTCTCCCTCCTTCAGAATTACTTCCAGAAGCTGGAAAAGTTGTCAGCAGCAGAGGAAGTCCACGGTGACGGTCCCAAGAAGGAACGCACTAAACTCATCACGCCTCAGGTGGCGAAGCTGGAGCATGCCTACAAGCCAGGTAAGCGTTCCTTTCCCCACGCAGCCTGGGGGGGGCGGGGGTGTGAGGTGGGGTCGGGCCCGGACTGACTCCCTTTGCTTCCCTTCTCCCTCCTTCCTGCAGTGCAGTTCGAGGGTTCGCTGGGGAAACTCACGGTCTCCAGCGTGAACAATCCCCGGAAGATGATCGACGCGGTGGTGACCTCCCGCGGCGAGGATGACGTGAGTTCCGACCCTGCCTCCCTTCCGACGCGGCCCTGCGGCTGGCACGCGGGCTGCCCGCAGCCCTGACTCCTCATCCCTCCCCGGCAGGAGACGAAGGAGAAGCAGGTTCGAGACAAGAGGCGCCAGACCCTTGTCACGATCGAGAAGGTGAGTTTTAGGGGGACCACCGCGGCCCTCGGAGGTCTGGGGCGAGGGAAGGGCCAGGGAGACCGCGACACAGTACCGATGAATTCCTCCGGACATCCGACCGGGGACAAACCAGCGCTCTGTGGTAGCCGAGGTCCTGCCTGTGGGAGAGGGGGTGGCCCTGGAGCAGAAAGGCTGGGGCCAGGAACCGGCCGTACCTTCACCCTGCCCCAAACCAGCCCGGACGGGCTTTGCAGGGTCTGTCACGGATCCGTAGCCGTAAGGCAGTAACACCTCGGCGCTCCGTCCGCTCTTGCGCTGGCTCCGAAGGATCCGGGCCAGGAGACGCGGTTCCTGTAGCAGCAAAGGAGACGGGAGGGTCCTGGATCTCTGCGGATCCCGTAGCAGATCCCTGCGCCCTGCTGTGATCGCCGTCTCTCCTGCAGACGTACAGCCTCCTCCTGGACGTGGAGGACTACGAGAGACGCTACCTCCTGAGCCTGGAAGGCGAGCGGCCGGCCCTGATGGGCGAGAGGAAGCAGAAGATCTGTGATATGTATGACAATCTGAGGGGGAAGGCGCCCGGGCAGGAGAGGTGAGCAGGGGTGGTGTCTGCGACTCGGTCGCTCTCAGGAGCTCAAACAGTCCGTGGGCGCTTGCAGCTGCTGACGCTGGTTTCCAGGGACCCAGAGCAGGGTTAAATTAACTCTTCCAGGGGTGTGTTGGGAACTGGGGGCTGAAATACCCTTTATTTTTTTCCTTTTCCTTGTTTTTTGGGTTTTTTTTTTGCCATTTTCCCCTCCCCGTGTGATCGCTCGCTGTGGTTATGATCCTATAACAACTTCCATCCCAGCAGCTCGGTCGGGTGTTGCGAATAGCGTGTGTCCGCCCAGAGCTCCGTACCCTGGCACATCTCCGGGTGCCTGTTTTTTCAGTCTGTCACCTCTTGCCTGACCTGTAACCTCCGCTGCGCAGCTGGGCAAGGAAAGGTCACGATTTCAGTGACTCCGCGTGTCCCGGGGCGCTCCCAGCCGAGGTTCAGCACCTTTTTCTCCTCCTCGACAGGCCGAGCGATGACCACTTCATGCAGATCATGTGCATCCGGAAAGGGAAACGTCTCGTTGCCCGGATCCTCCCCTTCTTGTCACCCGAGCAAGCGGCCGACGTACTCATGGCGACGGCCAGAAACCTGCCCTTCCTCATCAAGAAGGATGCTCAGGACGAGGTGAGGTTCCAGGGACCCCGGGGGGGTTCTCCTCACTCGCTGTGAGGCAGGGAACCGGAGCCGGATCTCCTCTCCTGTGCGGGGAAGACGGCAAATGACATCGTGGGTCTTAATGACGGTCGTTTCTGCCTCCCCCGAGAGGCTGCCGGAGGTCTGGGGAGGCTGCAGGAGCCGTGAGCTCCTGGCACGGTGCAGCCCAGCTTCGCCGGGAAGGAAGCGGGGAGGGGTTTTGATAAACGGTGCCTTTGTTTAACGAGCCGGGCACTTGGCCGAGCGCTTGTCTGAAGGGCTGCGTCTCTGACTCATCAGGCGACAACGGGGAGACTCTGTCTTCCAGAGACGGAGAGCGGAGGCCAGCGCCTCCTGAGGGACGCGCTCTCAGCTGTCCTCTGCGATCGTGTTTTTTAGATAGGCCACACAAATAGAAGCATCCGCAAAATAACTCCTCTCTCCGCAGGTGCTGCCCTGCCTGTTGAGGCCCTTCTCGCACGTTCTCTACCACCTTCCCTTGGGGACGGTCACCAGCCTTGTGCAGCAGCTAACGAACCTACCTCAGAGCGCGACCGCGTCGGCGCCCACCAACCTGCACCTCGCTGCTGTGCTCCAAAACAAGGTGCTCCCCTGCTCCCCTCTCCTTCGCTCTGCTGCCCCCCGGCACGGGTGGGACCATCTCATCCCTCCCGCCCCGGCAATTCCTGATGTCTCGGTGTAAATTGGGAAAGCGAGGAGTTCTCCGGCAGCCTGCGGGCGCTGGGTGGCAAAGCTGGATGCGGTCGCGGTGCAGGAACGACACGGGAATCGCAGGCTGCCAGCTCCTGTGGCGTTCTCCCCTTCCCTTGCTGATTAACGAGGGGGTTTGACAGATTAATTAGCCGGCTGGGCTGGGACGCCGCTGCAGTCTGACAGCCTGCTCCCTCGTCTGTCCCGCTGGGCCGCAGATCCCCGCGGGAGGGCCGCTTCTCTGCGGTGGGTTCGTGAAAACGTCCCTCTGAGCTGG